GAAAGGACCCTCCTCTCCTTCTATTCTTGCAGTAAACCTCTCTTTTTTTTTTTCTTAAGATAATTAGATTTGGTTTTTGGTGCTTGCATTTTCTAATCCTAACTGATATAGAATTTAATTCCTTTAAAAAAAGTATCTTATTTTATGAGAAGGTGAATTTAATCCAAACCCAGTATTTGCCAACGGACAGAGTTTGTGAGTTATCCTTATCTCAATTGTGCCCTTGGGTACTAGTTAAAAGCCCTTCTCAGAAATGCAGTTGGATGATAATAATTCAGAATCCCATTTGAGATGTTTAGTGGACTTTCTTCTAGTGCAGCTCTGTTGAACTGAAATATGATCTTCTCCTAACCCTGCTTCCTGCCTTTCTAATATTCCGAGGGAATAACACACACAAGAACTTCAGTCCCCATGAATGCTGTCATGAGCTCTTCCTGCCACCTTTACCTAAACACTTTCTGGGGACCACGCCTCCACACATTTCATCCTTCCCTCTTCATGCCCGTGCTCTGGGAGTGGCCATCTCTGTGTGACAGTAAGAAGAGAGATCCCCAGGGAGAGTGGGGTGAAGGAGGGACTCCGCTTCTCAGGAAGCACCAGGCACATGGCAAGTTGCCCAGCTTTGTGATTGAAGTGTTTCTGACCCAGTGACTAAACGGTGGGGGGTAGTAAAGCTGTCACACTCCCTATTATTATGTGGATTCTCCATGTAGTTAGTTTTATCTGTTGTACACTCAGAAGAAATGTCTTTAAAATGCTGCAGATCAACCTACTATCATTTTTAAGTTGCAGCTTCGGAAATATGTACATCTTTTTTGTGTGTATTTTGGGGGAAATATTTTAGTGGAAATTGGAGAGATCATGATGAAACTTAAGTTTCAAAGGTCTAATGATTATTTACATACATGATATATTCTGAGTATTTTTAAGGGTTTTTATCTAAATGTGGCATATACACGCAGGTATGAATCAAACTAGTATGTACTGGCACTCATAGAGGTCATGTTTCCATGATGTGATTCTCTAACCTGGAGGCACACTTTCAAGCTTTGAGCCTTTACCATTACAGTTATTGGGACTCTGAACCCCTGCTTCCATTACAAATCCTTTCAGCCTTCAAGAAGGTATTAAAAGGCTCAGTGGTAAATTTTCAAAATATTCCACCTTCCTTGAGGTCCCCTGTTCTCTGTTGGGCCATTATTTTCCAATAATGGTGGTGGCCTTAGCATAACTTTCAGCATTTGTCTGAAGCCTTATTGATGGCAGTTGTAACTTTCATTTTCCTCACTAATGAGCGTTCTTGAAGTACGTCTAAGTTCTTTGAATGTGAGAGTTGTGCCCTATTCTTTGGAAGAAGTCTACAGACCACTTACACACTCTGGTGTCCTGCACAGAGGAGATCCTTGATGGTCAGTGGTTGATTGATTACCATTAAGGCTGAAGTTGTGCTGTGTCAAGTGGCAGGCTCACAGACTGGGACACTGAGTCTCAGTTCTATCAGCCACTAGAAAACCATAGTGTGAATGGAGAAGGACTTACTATAGGTATTACATGTATTTTTTGATATTTTCTGTGTTTGTAGTAAGCGCCTCGTATGTGTCATCTGATTTAATTTACTCTTTACTACAACTACATTATTTCATTTTTACTGACAGAAAAACTTGGGCCAGAAGAAATGACTTTTACATAGTCATAGTAAATAGAACAATATCACCTACCTAAATCTACATTCTGGGAGCTGAAAAGGAAAAACCGGAAGATTTATATGTATGGGAGGAATTCCTAAAATAAGAGGAAGAGCAGGATGTCTGTCTGCTGGGGAGATAGCCTGGGTGGGGACATAGTTGTCATTCAATAGAGACCTGGAGTTCTAGAAGCTTAGAACTTTATGTCAATAGCTGGATCTTTAACTTAGAGTCCTAAGTTTTCTTCTTTTTGCTCTCTTTATTCTGACGAAGCCACATCAGGCAATTTGAGCAGCAGCATAAGGGAATTAGGACTTTCTCTGATTAGTTAGCATTTTACATCTCCTCATTGTTAATTCCACTCAAATTAGGCATCCAAAGCTTCTATCAGAACAGTAGCCTTATTCCTGACCATAAAAAGCCATGCTTCCCTTACTAAGTGAGGCCTTGTCCTCTAATTGCCTTGCTGAGGGAAATGTATTAGTATTCAGTTCTGTGTTTTCAGTTTGATTTTAGGAGTCTACTAGTACTCCTTGAGGCCCTGTGGTTGGTGGATATGTCCTATATCTGCTCTGTCCAATATAGTAACCACTAGCCACATGTGGCTATTAAACATTTGAAATGTGGCTACTGTGCCTGAGGAATTGAAATGCAATTTTATTTAACTTGAATTAACTTGTAGTTACATTTCAATAGCCTCATGTAGCTAGTAGATACCATATTGGACAAAAGGGAATTGATCAATTTCAGGTCACATATCGGACGGCTTCTACTGAATTCTTGTCTCAACAGGGCTTGTTCCTTTACAATCATGTCATTCCTTCCTGCTATCATCTCACTCAATTAATTTTCTCTCTTATCACTTGTTATTCAACAATTACCTGCTTCCTTCTAGTAGAAAATTTAAAACTGCTTTATTGGAAAATCTCTTCATAGAAGCAATGTTTTTCCTCATTCCCCTCATATTTGAAAAATAAAAATAATAGTTTGTAAAAGCTGTTTCTTTCCATGTTATTATTAATGCAAGCAGTGTTTCCCAAAGTGTAGAGCATGTGCCCCTAGTGGCATGAGAGATAATTTTAGGTGGTACAGGACGAAGCATTTACATAATTTTATTACTTATTTTTATTTTAATGACTATTGGGAAAATGTGATTAGCACCTCAAATGTATAATTTTAGGGATTATTATTGCTTAGCATGAAGCTAAAGTAGACCTTTGCATTTTAGGGACTCATTTAAAACAATATTAAGTAAATAGTAGTACAGGTGGTATGCAGATATGGCAAAACTTATTAATTTATTGAAAAATGGCTGAACTCTGGGAAATGTGGATGTTAACTAAACTTTTTGCATCAGCTCCATTTCATGCCACTTCCCATACGTTCTCTCAGCTGCAGCTTATTCGCATCAGCTGCAAACCCGCCGTGCACTTCTCCATCAGGCCTTTGTTTATTTGGCTGCTTCTGCCAGGACTGCCCTTCTGCTCTGGACCACTTGTCCTCCACCAGGTGAAATTCTACACAGACACCAACACCAGATCAAATCCTCACAGAAACCATCTACGCTCTTCTTCAGCTCTTTCGTAAAGTGAACTTGGCCTACCTCCTTATCCTTGTTGTACGTTATTCATTCTTCCAGTGTAGCACTTACCCCACGATAGTTTATTTGGTTGTGTGTGGGTCTGTTTTGCTTTCTGGAACTGAGAATCCCTTCAAAGTAGAGACACTTTATTATCTTTGCACCTGGAAGTCAATTAAGTGTCCAGCACATAGTAAGTGTTTATGAAATATTTGTTAAGGGGTAAACTCGATTTTTAAGTTAAACTTAATTATGTGAAGTCACTTTGAACCACACACTTCCCCTTCTCTTACATTCATCACATTTGCAGGCAGCCTTTGGCCATACAAGGCCAGCAAATGCTCACAATGGCAAGTTCCATGTAGTAGTAGCCAAGAGGAAACACAAAGATTTTAAATTTGTGAGGAACAAACTGCAAAGCTTTCCAAAGCTAAAACAAAACAATTTTAAAAAATAACTCATGCCCTTGCTATCAAATAGTGTTCATACAGAATTTTATATTCAAATCATGCATTATTAAAAAATACTCTGCTTCACTGAATAAAAAAGATATTTTGGGGGGTTCAATTATGAACCTGGTCTATATCGATTTCTTTCACCAAGTAATTGCTTAACTCACCTTTTTATTTTGCCTGGTTATCTGAATTACAAATATAACATTGCATAGCTCTTTGTTCTCAAGATATTATAGACAAAGAATATCTGAATATAATAAACTTTCTATAAGCCTCCTTCTGTGAATGAGTCATTTACTTATGCCTAGGACAGTAAAAATATACAAAATAGTCAAGATTTATAGGAACAATTTATGTTTGAATAAAATGTTAGCTACATTACTTTCTAGAAGCTCTTGACCTTTTCTTAAAGTGTTTTCTAGCTTGGGTAGGCAATATATTTTGTTCAGTAGAGATTTCCTTCTACTAGTATATCAGCTTTCCCCCTCTAACTTTAAATGAAGTCTGTCTAGTAGGTAGGACAAAGCCTACCTATGTATTTTTAATATATATATTAAATAATATATTTTATAATATATATATCAATATATATATTGATTTCAGAGAGGAAAGGAGAGGGGAAAAGAGGTAGAGAGAGGCATCAATGATGAAAGAGAATCACTGATTGGCTGCCTCCTGCACGCCCCACCCTGGGGATTAAGCTCACAACCTAGGCATATGCCCTGACCTCCTGGTTTATAGGTTGACACTCAACCACTGAGTCATGTTGGCCGGGCTATCTATCATCTATCTATCTATCTATCATCTATCTATCTATCTATCTATCTATCTATCTATCTATCATCTATCTATTTTTAACAGTACTTGATTTTTTGAGATTATGTAGGACAAATTTCTAAGTCCATTTCTTCATTCTCAATCATTTGACAAGTGCTTATTCCATGCCAGACACTAGACTAAGCGATGGGATAGAAGTTTCAGGAGACAAGGTGCTGTAGCGCACGGAGCCTGCAGCCTACAGAGGAACACAGAGGAACACGATGCTGTTCGGTGTAGACAGGGAGTGCAGTGATTGCTCTATGGGGTCATCTAAGGGGCCACAGGGTCAGGGAAGGCTTCCCGCGGGAGTGACTCCTGCGGCAGTTTGTGAACAATAAGGCGATGTCAGCTGAACCAGAGGAGGAAAGACCATTCAGAGTGAGCGCTAAGAGGCACCTCGGGAGCGCCCTCTGGCGAGAACAGGACGCGCGCGCCCCCCGCCCCGGCCCCCCTCTCCCCGCTGCCGCTGCGGCGCCCCTCCCGCTCGGGGTTCACTCTCGGGCTCTCACTCCCTGAGCCACGAGACCAGAGCGGGGACAGGCGCCGGAGACGCTCGCCCAGAGGAGACCTGGGCACGGGGCGAGCCGGCGAAGCCGGAGCCCCAGCCGCTCGCTCCCCGGGAGTCTTCCGAGACCACGGGCAGCTCCGCGTCCCTGCGCGCCACCTGGCACGGCCACTTGGCGGGGCGCGCCAGGACTTGGGAGCGTGTCGGGGAGAGCCAGGGCCGGCGGCGGAGCGAGGGCGCCCCGGGACTGGGAGGGCTGGGCGGTGGCGGCGCAGCGGCCGTAGCCGGGGGTGCCTCCCCTCCTCGCTTCTCCGCCGGCAGGACCGCCTCCCCCGCCGCCACCCGCCGGGTCCTCCGCGCCTTCCCCGCCCGGAGCCGGCGCACGATGTGCCGGGCTGCGTTCTGATCGCCACCGCCGCCGCCGCGATGATCCCCCCGGAGCCGGCGCCGCAGCCGCCGCAGCCGCCGCTGCCCGCCCTGCCCAACCATGTGGTGACCACCATCGAGAACCTGCCGGCGGAGGGCGGCGGCAGCCTGTCCGCCTCCTCCCGGGCCGGCGTGCGCCAGCGGCTCCGCAAAGTGCTGAACAGGTGAGCGGCGGCGGGCGCGGGGCAGGGCTGCGGGCGCGGACCCGGGGAGCCCCCCTCGGCCCCATCCGGGGTCCCCTCGGCCCCCAGGGCGGACCGGAGGCCCTGGGGGACGGAGGCAGAGTGGCGGCCGGGGCGACAGAAGAGAACAGAGGGGCCCCGCGCTCGCCGAGAGGCCGCGGAGGGAGCTTTGTCCCAGACCCCGGAGCGAGCCTGGGAGCCCCGCCACCCGCTCGTCCTAGGAGTTCGGGGAGGGGCGGGGTTTGCCTGCCCGGGGCTGGGTGTCCCCCCACTCACGCCCCCGCTCGCGCGTGTTGCCTCCCTTCCCTTTCCCACTCACACCCCAGCTTGACGCTCAAGGGCCGGAGGGGACCCGGGGGTGGCCGGGGCGGAGGCGGGAAGGCGTGGGGCTCCCGAATGGCGTGGAAGTCGCGGCCTCCACTGTCTCCAGCCCCGCCCGGCTGTCTCTGATCGCCCCCCCCCCCCCCCCCCCCCCCCCACACACACTTGCCAGGGATGGGGTGGCAGCGGCAGTCCTGGCCGGCAGGTGGAGGACCCACTTCTGCCCGACACTTCAGTTGCCGCTGCCACTCCGGCTGGCTGGTAGCAGGGGAGGGAGGCCTGGATCCGACCCACGCAAAGTGCAGAAATGTTGCGGGAAGGGTGTGCGACGGAGGCGCCAGGGTATCGCCAAGCCGGCTGCAGCCGGAGGCAAGCGCTGGCGCCCGCACTTCCAGTGCTGGAATCTGCGCAGTATGGGAACCCAGGACCAGGCGTGTCAGGATGAGAACCTGGTTGACGGGAAGAGGGGGCCCCCTCTTGGCGCCCCTAACTCGGCTGTGATGTGAAAGGGACTTTTGCTACTTAAGGAACTTGAAGTGGTTGAAGAACTGACACTTAAACATCGCGTAGACAATTGGTTTTGTGTGTCTTTATTTGGGTGCGTGTGCGCGCTGCCATGCGTCGGTAGGGGTAACTCTTAAGGTGGTTCTGTTCTTACAGGTTTCTGTGTGGCGCTGGTTTGGGTAATTGAGATTCTCCAAGAAATTGACATTGAGCTCTTTGAGGCTACAAGCTCTAGAGGGAGCACAAAATATGTACAGAAATAGAAGCTTGAAAAACCTCTTTCTTTTAAGAGTAGGGTTTAATTTACTTATATCAAATCCAAACCATTCAAGAGTCCCCTGTGAAGACTGAACATGCATATTAGCTTCCTTGCGGGGGCTTCCGTATGTTTCTGTTTATTAGCAAACAAGAAGACATTCACTCTGAAGGGAGACCTGGCTTGGTACTAGAAAGGCAAGCCTTCACTTAACTTTGGTTTGTAGCTTAGAATGACGCCTTCCAAAATATTACACTTAAAAGCTAATGAGCAGACGAAGTCAAGAGGATGCTGGCTCAGTACACATTATGTGGGTTTCCTGTTCTTTATGATTACCTGTGCGTTTTTAAATTGTAAATGTCTTGGCATTAGCTGTTTAAGGTTTTAAGCAGAACATGCTAGTTATTCGTTTCTCTCATCAAACTGAAAAATGGTGCAATAATTCATTTATCTTTTCTTGATTATAACATCTTATTGATTCCGTGCAGGTTATTTCTTGATATTTAAGGAAGCTTAAAGTCCAGAATGACAAGATCACTGAAGTAGGAGTGAGGGGGCTTGGGTTGTCATCATTTCTCCACCACTAACTAGCCATGTGGCTTGGGGCAGAGCTGTTCATCAGCTTGGACCTCAGTTGCTTCATTTGCCAAATGGGTTTTGTAATCCTTTTCTTACCCCTCTTAACATAGTTTTGAGACTTGACACGAATTCATTTATTCAACTGATTTCTGTTGTCTGCGTTGGGTCTGGGGAATATCATAAGCAAATTAAGTCATGGTACATCATGGATAGACCTTTGTGTTTCATTAAGCCTTCGGTGATCTGTGATATGATTCTAACTATTCCTAATTTATAGAGGAGGAAGTTAGGCCGAAAGGTTGGGTCCATGACATTTAACCACAGGTACATCTGTGAATGGAACCTTAGGGTTATAGTCTTTAGACTTCCACTAAAATATTTAATTGTCTTTCAGAGTTCTTCCGAGTGTTCAATATAATATTTTGTATTGAGTGAACGTCTTTTCTTATCCTTAAAAGATAAGAAAATATTTCTTTTGAGGAGGACCACCTTTGAGAAGGAGACTGAAAAAAAATTAGAATACATGTAAAAGCCTTGCTGGGATAATGTTGTTAGCGTGCTGATGTGCTTGGCTTTTGAGCCAGGATTAGTTCAACAGGAGGCAGAGTTAGTAGTGGCTGCGGAGTGACGGGGCTCAGGAGTGTGAGGGAGAGTGAATTTCAGAGCTCCTGTGCCAGCGCTTAGGTGTGGTTCCCTTTTGGTTTGAACCATCCAGTTGTGTTGGGTAAATCAGTAACGATGATAAGGCTGGCTCTTTGTGGCCAAACCATAAGCATCTTTGTTCATATTCTAAAAGCTTACCATCACTTTTTAGTCTCCTTTTTCTCTTCCTTTTTTCCTTAATACATCTGTTTCCTTCGCCTGCATTGCCCTGTCAATTCAGTCTTCTGGGCTTCAGTTGTTTCCTTTTACCTACCTCTGGCATGCAACAACTTTGCTGCTAGCAGAGAGTGAGGCTGCAGATCTGGAGCCAATATAAAAACACGTCCCTCCAACTTTTGGCATGCCAATGTATAGCTGGCAGTGTTCTGTTGCTGTGAGCTGGCCAGTGGAGTCACTTCATTGTTGGAATGGGGCCTTGCACCACTGTTAGCTCTTAGACTCCCCTTGGGCCAAAGGGGCAGTGCTGAGAGCAGAGGATGATGGTACAGTCAGATGAGGAGTGTTAGATGTGAGCAATGCAAGCCTGGTGAACACCTGCTACTCATCATAGTCTATAGCAATAGCTTCCTGCCAACCAAGAGGAAGACATGGAAACACATATGCTAGCTATAGCACGTCTACCTAGGAACAGATACAGAGAGAAGTACTGATTAATAATTAATTAAAAGTACTTGTTCTCAAGAAGCTTAGAATGAAAGTGTAGTGTTATCTTAATGAAATCTGTCTCACATTATCCTGCATCATTTATTTCCCCCCTCTTTAAAGGCTTGTAAACTTGGGATGCTGCATTTTGTACATGACAATTGGGCATCTCCTCCCCCTACCCCCAACACACCCCATTCTATTCAAAATTGTTTTGGCAGTGAAATGCAAGAGATATACAAGATGACTTAAATGAGGGGACATTGTTACTTCTTCAGTTTCCATAGATTTAGACTAATGTATTGGTTCGAACAAGGAAAACATACAGTAAACTCTTCTTTAAATATTCCTTAGTGTAGAACAGTATTTATTACCCTGCCATGGGCAAGCAAGATATGGCAGAATAAGAAAATACTTCAAGGGCGACAGATGACGACCCTCTCACAGAAACTGCTGATACCTGTAGATTTTTTACAAACATACAGAAGCAGATACTGAAGTGTATAGTATCCAAATATTTTCTCCTCTAAAATGATTACTTAATGAATGGTTATGAAAACAGGTGACAGCTCCTTTTGTGTTTTGTATGTGCATAGTTTTATTTATCTTTTCCCATCTGAACATTATTTTCAAATACTAATAAAAATAACTATGAAGTTCTAGTTTTGATCCACTTTCTTCCCACTAAGAGATACATTGGGATGTCTCTCGTTATAAAGGATTTCTGCCTTTTTGAGCCTTATAGTGGGGATGTCTAATCATTAGAATGGAACCAATAGTGTGACACCGGGTTATCTATTCATTTGATTTGGAACTAACTTATTTATTGCCGACATACATCTTGATTTATTTTGATCAATTTTCAAATTTCTGAAACTTTAAACAATTGAAGACCAAGGAGCAGTAAGGAGACTACATTAGAGAGTTGGTAGCAAGCCTACATAAAACCAACGTCTATGCAGGAAGTTACCATATGTATATATCGCTTTTCTGCGTCATTAATTAAGGTGGGCCGAACATGGTGAACCAGCAAAATTGCTTTTAGGGAACTGGGCTCTGCTTGAACTATTAGATACAGTTGATAAAGACATATAATTTATATGATCCCCTTTTTGTCAAATGGGAAAGCTTTTGTTAAAAAAATTGGTAGTGAGGCTCTTCCTCAAGCTGCTCCTTTTAACAGATGTCAAAACGAAAGGGGAAGATCAAGTAGTAATGAGCATAATTGATACAAAATATGCCAAATGGAACTGGATGGTGTGATTAAAAACAGACATTTCTAAGATCAGTAGTAAACAAAGGATGTCTGAAGGGTGCATTTATTTTTAACTCAAGGACAAAATTACAAAAATAAAAGATCATCAAGTATTTTCATTTTAATGCACAAGGCTTGGAGAGATGCATGTTTATATTAAAGATGATGCATGTCAAAGTAATTAATATGTAATAAAATAGACATATCTTAGTGTATTTTTTTTTTTAGCTTTACTTGAAACACTTAAGATCCTTCAGTGCTTAAGGGTCATCATAATAGAAGTCTATTTTTTACTCTACCTTGTTATAGATGTAGATGATATAGGAATTTCAGTTGGGTGCCCAATGCAGGAGCTGATTTACTATTTATTTGTCATTTCCCATATAAGTAGAATGCAGAATATGAAAGTACCACTATCAGGTTTTAGTTTATCTTTCTCATTCAAGTTCAGGCCAATGAGCATTCACTGCATATTGTTCAAGCACATTAATTCTTGATTATGTTTCCAAAACAGTATGCTTTGGAAGTCAAACTCCAATAGACACATGGAAATAAATACCCCATAAAATTTACTATCTTAAACACTTTTAAGTGTTAAGGAGTGCAGTGTTAACTATATGCATTGTTATGTAACAAATCTCTAGAAATTTTTCATCTTGTAAAACTGGAACTCTATACTCATTGAACAACAACTTCTCTTTTCCCTTTCCCCACCGAACCTGGCAACCACCATTCTACTTTCTGTTTCTAAGAGGGTTTGGC